CATTGGTGATGAGGATATGGCCAAAAGGTATTGGTGAAAGATGGGTGACTTCCGGAAGACGGGAGTCGAACCGGTCGTTTTCACTTCGTTGAAGGGTGACCTGATGTAGCTTTGTCTCGCAAGAAGTTGGCCAGGGGGACCTAGAGGATTCCAGATGTTCTAAGAATATGCGATGAATTGACTGTTAGTCAGTCGAATCCCGTGAAACAAGTGACAGCAAGTGTGACATTAGATAGTATATCACATCGTTTCACATCGCAAAGAGGGGCTCCAAACTCTCAATGTCGGGGCTCAGCCAGGGGCTCCTGATGTCACGGTCGGAAGCGGTTGGACATGAAAGATGCTTGCAGGAGGTTCTCCTCCTTGATCAAAGAGGGGTTCCTTGCGCTCCCCAATGCAGGAGCTTCAAGCAGGCTTGTAGCTTTTCTCCCTTTGGAGCGATCGCTTGTTCCCACTCAGTGGTGTTTCATTTCAGATCCTCTCAACCTGGGAGTCCCAAACCATTATAAGATGTAGAAGATCTATAGAAGGATATAGAAGGTGCAGGTAGCAACCACAAAAGCAGGCGGTCAGCCGGCGTCACTATTGCTCTAGTCAAAGATCTGGGGCCACCTAAGTCGAAAGACACCTAAAGGAAATCGGCAGGCTCTCGGCGTGCACGAAACAGGTGGCCGCTCGGCTCACGACCCTTTTGATCCCAAACTGCACGGTGATGGTGAATGAGCTATCTACTTAGGATGCGAAGAAACTTGCATCCCCGGGTCATCCCTTGCTTCCGCAATGTTCGAGAACATCCAAACCTTGTTTCTTTCGGTTGCGCGCGGATTGCATTTGGGGATCTTGCACGATGCGCCAGCGTTGGCCTAACTGGTAGAAGCGATCAAGCTCTTGTCCTTCTCCTTATTTTGTCAGGGAGTTTGCAAGTTGCGCGTGTGAGTGCACCCATCGGATCACAAGCTCGGTCTCTTCCAGGGCTTCTTTTTAAGCCTATCAGTTCCAAGGCTGTGCGCTGTTCTGGTCCCTTTGGAACATAGACAGTTGACTTCATGCGATCGAAAACATTTGTTGAATCGGTCACCAGTACGGCGGGCACTTGCTTTACAAAGCTCGCGGCCTGTCTGACTCGAATCTGAGTGCCCAACATTTCAGAAAGCTGGAGTCTCACTGCAAACAACTGGTCTTCTCCATTTATGGTTGCTAAGCACTCGGCAGCTCCTGGAGAGCGGCACTGTCGGGTGATCTTGGTGGAATTCCAAGCCACTGGACTGATTTCGCATAAGTCCCCTGCCAACAGACGCTTCGAGGTAATTCCTATGAGGATACCTTGTGTGCTCTTGCCGTCAACCCTGTTCTGTACAGAGGCATCCGCCCAACATGCTACCAACAAGTCTTGCGGGTCATGGACATGTATCAACATCTTGTGTTTCTTGTCGCATTTGGTTTTGTATATGAGTTTGTTCGTCTCAAGTAGGGTGGAGACTGTGCTGGTAGTCACTCTGGATAACAAGAGGCTCACTGCAGCTCCAATCTGTGGACTGGTTTGCTGGGCACACCAGCTCAAAGCTCCCAGCGCGGCTCGCAGCTGCGTCTTCTCGCGATCATTGGTGAGGGAGCTAGGTTCACGGCGGCGTTCGGAGCATATAGAGATCTCCTTCAGGTCTTCAAGGTATTGTGATTGATTCATTTCATAACCCCCTTCCGGTCTTTTCTTGATTTGGACTCCACACTGAGTGAAATTGTCCCATTCCCAAGTTCCCCAATCAAACTTCTTTCTAATTTGGTCACACAAGTTGGTCCATGTCTGGTCACTTTCACGCCCGCAAAAAAGAAAGTCGTCAACATGTCCACTTATGAGTCCTACCAGCCTGCCATCTTGTGACACAGACTTGAAGCAACAGGGGTCGGTAACACAAAGCGAAAACCCAATTGAGATTAAGAAGTCCGACACCGTCAAGTACCATTCCAGTGGTGCGTCAACCAAGCCATAACATGCCTTCTTCAGGCGCGTGATGGCGCCTGGACTGAGTCCCATGCCGATGCATATTTCATCGGTGGGTATCACATAAGATTCACCTTGGTACTCCCGGCCTTGTAAAAAGGCACCCGAGACATCTCCCTTGGCCACTCGAAAGCCCAGCGCTGATGATATCACCAGCAACAACTGACGGGTGGTCCTGGACATGGTTGGTGCGGCAGTTTGCCGCTCGGCATACTTAGGGTCCATGTATCCTAAGATAACACATCTAGCTTTCGCCTTTTTGTTTCCTTGGTCATCGCGTTTCCAAACCAAAATCCATCTCATCCTCATGACCTTTGATGGATGTGGCCTGAGATGTGGCGGAAGTGCCTCCAGGGCCTGTGCTCCTATGTATTTCTTTACCTCTTCTTGTTTGGCGTTTGTCATGAGAATTCTCTCTTCATCCGTCAAGTGTTTTTCGTTTACCTCCACCGATCGACGTCGAAGGTTTGACACCAAGAAGCTTTCAAAGGAGTTTGTCATATATTGTTTTCCGCGGTTTGTCTCTGGTGTTTCGAAAACGATTTCGACAGCAGCCTCGGACTGCGCCCAAAACACTTCAGCACTCATGGCATGTTCAGTGAGTGGTGTAGTGTCCATGTCGACTACCAAACCCTGTTCATGAACAAACAACATGTCATCATCTTCATCCACACTAGGTCTAGTAGGTGGGGGACATTCTGGAACATATGCCTTATGTCGTATTCGTTTGTAAGGTCTGGTCGTTTCCTCATCCACCGCACGTTCGAACTCCGGAAGTTCTGGTACATCACCTGTGACATCTTCATAGTAGTGTTTCGAAAGGTCCTCGGTCAACTTCGTGAAGGTCCACGGAAGATCTGGTGGATTGGTCAACAATTCAAGAGCTTCTTCACGAACTGAGGCTCGTCGTAGCTGTTGTGGACACGCTTTGATCAATCTTGAACCTCTGGTCAGCCACACCACAGAACCTGGTCGATATGTGTTGTCCTCATTCAGCTTGGTTTCCAGGGCCAACACTCGAGCTGGTCCAGTGAAACCTCCAGTCCTGGCTGAACTAGCTGGCCCCCTGGTTTGGATTCTCCACACGTGTACTAAGTCGCCGGGTTGGTATTGTTCCAGTTTGTAGCTACGTGTGTTTGCGGCTCTTCGGAGCCGTTCGTCCGCGATCCATTCGGTCATGGCATGTTCTGCGGTGGTCATGCGGTGTATGTTTCTTTGAAACTCACCCTCACTATTTTCACACAAACCTGGGGGAATTTCTTTCATTCCACTGGGATGAAACCGACCGGCGGAATCGGGCGAACGACCGAGCGCGTGCTGTGCAGGACTGTAGCCCCGGACAATTTCTCTTTCATTCTCGGTCCTTAGGGCTTCAGCCAATGCTTCCTGTGCTGTGATCTCAGGATCTTCCATGGCCAGTTTGGTCATGATGTGTTTGGTGCATTTGATGGCCCGCTCGACATGGCTAATCTGCCAGTGGGCTTCGGCCGGAATTGTGTCCAGTTCTATGTTCTGTGAAGACATGTAGTCAGCCACTTGTCCTGATCTCCAGGCTCCAGCCGGGTCAACACGCAGTCTGTCTGGAAGTCCAAAAACAGGTTTCCACAGTTCCTGAAACACGTTTATGAGGTCCTGTCCGTTGATCCCCTTTCCCCGACCGGTTTCCACCACCCGACCTACTCGAAACCGACATCCCTCATCAATCATGAGTGTGAATTGGTATTTCTTTCCATCGGTTGGGTGATTCCAAAAAGCATTGTCCGCCTGAACAACCTTCCATTTTGGGGGAAGGGGTTCCAAGGAAACCTGAGGTCGGGGCACCATACGTTTGGCTTCCTGACATGTTGGACACTGATAGCTGCGAGCCAACTCCAAGAGTCTAGGATCCGAACCTCGAGCCTGAAGTGCTTTGACTAAGTGCTCAACCGGACTGTGTCCCGAGTTCCTGTGAAGTCCGGCGATCTGTCGAAGGTATCTGTTTCGTTCTTCGGTGTTCAAGGGTGCGAGGCCTGTCATGGGGTCATCTTCAGCTGCCATGCTAAAGGGGTGTTGTGATTCCTCTAACATCTCACAATGATTACAGGACAAGCAAGGAGCTCTTTGGATGGGTGATGGTATCACAAGTGCAACAAACCGGTCTTCCACTGCGACTGCTGGGAATATCGATCTGTCCTCGAAGTTCCGTCACCAGGTTGTCCCTTTCAGTGTCACGCCAGATGGTGCGGCACACTCGTTTAGCAAAATCATTTGTGTAATATGCACTTTCCCTCGTGAGTTTCCCTTCACACCAAGCATGCTTAACCCCACACAGACAAGGGAGTTCCATACTCTGCAACAGCCCCTCATGAGTAGACGCTATCTTCCAACCTTTTCCCATCAAATCACTCTTGGGGGACACCCTCAATCCGACACGACAACCCTTGACCACACAAGTCTTCAATTGATACCGATTCATCATGTTTTGAACCATTGGTAACCGCCAAGCATCACATGTCTCCGACCATTCCCAAGAAACGGACACCCCATGCTGAATACAATGAGTCATGATCAACAAACCTCCAACGTATTGCCTAATGCAGTTGTCTCGTTTTTGTTTCAAGTTCTCCATTTGTTCCGGAGAGCGTTGATTCACTCGCTGCATCCTAGAAAGGTCCGCATTCAGTGCTAATCCAAACATGGAGAGGTCTGTCCTTTTTGATCTTGTTGATTGCCTTGCGCACTCCCGTACTGGTGGCAAGGTCATAACCGTTCCAAAAAGAAAGACGTTCAGCTGCGCTTTCCCTACCGGTCATTTTCCTCATGGTATCCGTCAGGAGTGAGTCCGGTCCACATGCTACCTCAAAAAGCAAGGGCCGTTCATATCGGATGAGTTCCCCAGATGTAGCGGGGAGCTCCTCCATGGCCTGAAGGCTCAGTAGCTTGGTTTCTCGCTCACTGAGCACCACCTCAGGTGCAGGCAAGAGAGTTTCCAAGCCTTCGGAGAAAAACCCTTTGGAACCGTCTACTGATCCACTGGCATCTGGGAGGTTTTCTCCCAGTCGCTTGAGGTGGCGGCCGAGGGTTGCTTCCGGCGCATCTCCCGATCCTCCTTCATGTCGGCCACCTCCTTGGTGAGCGCCTTCAAGGCTAACGCCATTTCCATCATCTCATGAGGATGAACTGGACTTCTCTGCGTCCTTCTTCTTGACTGGGTAGCCCTTCTTCGGGTTCTTGGAATGCTCTGCTGTGGCTTCCGTCACTTGCTCCAGCTCCGTCATCTCCTCCAGCCACTTGGCCAAGCGATGAAGCTTCATGCTGCTCTCTGGGTCCTCCTTGGAGGTCTGCATCACCCAGCGAGCATAGCTGGGCTGTTCCATCCAGATCTCCTCGTACTTCTTGTCGCAATGCTTGCCGAACCCGACGAAGTCCGTGGGATGAGGAGCTGCCATCACATAGGCCTGGTTCAGGCCCTTCACCTTGAGCTGAGCAATGGTCTCGGTGCCCGTCAGGGTCATGCCCATGTTGACCGTCAGGTACTCCTGGAGGGTTGCCTTCCGAGCTGAAGCCTTGTTGATGGCCACTTCGAGAGTCCTCAATGGGCTGAGTTCCTTGCTCTTTGGCTCCAAGATCACCTCTCCCTCGAGCTCGCTGAGTCGATGAAGCAATTGTGCCCGAGTCCACTTGGTTGGAGCCACTTCCCCATGGTACTTCTGGAGACGCTCGCCAAGCTCCACACGGGTCATGCGGGACACCATGATCACCACAAGCTTCGGGAGAGAGGTCGTGCTTTCCAAAGAACGAAGCGGAAACGGCTGCGGATGTTTCATCAACTTCACTCAACGGTGGCCGATCGATGACACCGAGCGCAGGTTTCACGACACCCTGAGATCGATGGTCCTCCGTGACCTGAGTGCGTGACGAAGTATCGGGTGGCTCTGAGCTCTGACACTGACTAGGGTCTGTACCAAAAGTGTGATGTGCACAATCATGTGATGTATGCGACACACGTGGCATGGGTTCTGTTTTGAGGCCTTGGTTTCGTTCTCTCCCATGGAAGCCGGGCTGAAGAGTTTCATGTTGATCATAATCGGGGTTTGGTTCGCATCCCAACTGACTACCATGATCTACCATGACATGTCCATGAAAAACCATTCCTGCTGCTACGCTGTCCTTTCCACCCTGCGCAGGCGACGGGATGGAAAGGTCATATCCCTATTCGAGATCACTAAAGCACGGCAGCGGCGCTCGCAAGCTGCGGGCAGTCTCATAGGCATCCGTCGTGAGAGGCAGCACTTGGTGTCCAGCTGCCGTGCGCTCCAGGCGCACCACTTTGGTCGGATCCACTGCCCGGAAGACTGCGCGATCCGATGCGTAGTCGATCACGGCGCCTAAGCTTCTCAAGGAGCTGATTGACAGCAGCACTGGCGCTTGGCCTTTGTCCAAGGCGTGCACCTTGAGAGTGCCCATCTTGCCACCGAGCGGGACCAGTAATGATGCCGTTGAGGCGCACTGGTCCTTCGAGGAATTTCCAAACCCAAAAACTGGCCGGTCAGCAAGGTCCACTTGTTGCACCCCAGAGTCACCCCGATGGATTCATTCAGATCTGCAACCCTGGAGAGGGCGGCAATGGAGCCAATGGTTTTCGTGGCTCCGCCGTCAATGACAGCTTTTCCCTGCAGCATCACATCCTGGGTAGAGATGGTGGCCTGGGACTCGCCCATGAGCGCCTCCCCCACCGTGTCGGTGAAGAAGACGAAAGGTGCCTGCTCCTGGGTGTTCGGGCTGACTGGTCAGCAGGCTTCTCCCGACATTCGGCCACCTTGTGTGGGCCACCACATCAGAAACATTGCATCCGTGGAGGCGTTTTGCCAAGTCGCTTCCACAGGCTTTGAGGTTCATTGCCCTTGCCCTTCCCTTTGACGGGGTAGTACTGCCGTGCCATTCGGACGGCATGCTGTTTAGCTCTGGCCTCCCTCAGTGTCTGTCGAGCCTCCTGCATCACGGCGTAGGCTTCCACCATTTTCTCTTGCTCCACTTCCATGGACGGTGGTGAAGCCCTCTTCCATCAAAAGCCATTTGTATCAAGCTCGCTCCAGAAGACCTTGTCCTCCTCCGGGTCGTGGTCCTCCGTCATGTGGGCCATGTACTTGCCCTTCTCCATGTCGCGGCGCTTGACGTCCGCATCCGTCCAGTGTTTCCTCAACACTGTCTCCACGGCTCGGACACTGAAATCACCTTGTAGGTCAGCTTGGAGAACATTTCTTTCCATCACGTCCAAGCCGGAGTCCATGAAGAGGTACCAGCCTTGGATGAAATCTGGCAAAATCTCTGGGAGCTCATCACAACTGCATTCCAGGGTGTCGGACTGTTTCCAGGACTCAGTATGATGGCTCCTGGACTGGTGAGAGTGGGCTTCTTCCCACTCATCATGCGCATGCCATTGCGCCCAGAGATCATCCTCCTCCGTCGCAAGGTCGTACCCCTCATTCTCAAACTCATAGGACTGCTCCTGCAGAGATTGACTGTTCCTAGCCTTCCAGGTTCTCTGAGGGCCAGCTATTGATGAATGCTGAGATCTTGGATCTGAGTTCACTGACTTTGGCTTCTTTGGATGTTCTCGTTGATACCGGGCCATTGACTGTTGTGCCCGGGTGTATGCCTCGGCTTTTCTCATCACGAAGTCACTCATGCCCTCGCCCCGCTGGCGTTTGGTGCCCTTGAAGTACTTCATCAACAGCTCGCTCATTTCAGGAACCTTGGATTGGCCCCTTTCAGCACGAAGAGCTGCCACTAATCGACGGACCCCTCCATCGAAGGACAGCCAGTCCGCTGACTTGCCAATCAGGATGCGTCTGGCTGATCCAGACAGTTCACTGGCAATTCGAGGCCCACAAAGGTATCGCTTCTCTTTGACCACGGTCTGCTCATACAGGAGACAGGCTTCGACGAACTCTTCGAAGGTGGAGCTGTCTCCCGACCACACCGGCACCCCATCGCGATTCTTGAGAATCGCCCCTTGGTTGCCACCTGAAGACTCAACACGGCCTGGCGGTGCTGAGTACCATGACATCATCATTCACCTTTCTCACACGAGCCCGCAGGCTCCGCTACCGTGCAGGTAGCAACCACAAAAGCAGGCGGTCAGCCGGCGTCACTATTGCTCTAGTCAAAGATCTGGGGCCACCTAAGTCGAAAGACACCTAAAGGAAATCGGCAGGCTCTCGGCGTGCACGAAACAGGTGGCCGCTCGGCTCACGACCCTTTTGATCCCAAACTGCACGGTGATGGTGAATGAGCTATCTACTTAGGATGCGAAGAAACTTGCAGAAGGTATATATATGGTGCTCCAAACAGTCAACCAGACTTCCTTTTCTATCCACTCCTAGGTGAGGCTCCAAGATCTCCACCTGACCTGACACCCTGGGATCTCCACCTGACCCGCCGCGAACCGACCGACCGACCGAGGCCTTCGCCGCGCTGCGCTGGACCTCCAAGGGCTCGGGCGACATGTCCGGGGTGCCTCGGTGCGGAGCTCCGCGGAGGACGGGCCGAGGTCGGGCGAGGTGGAGCCGCCTTGCTGATCGCGCCCGGCCCGGCTCGGTCAGCTCGGGGTGAAAGGTTTTGTGGTTGAGGCGCGTGGTTCTTGGTTCCCGAAGGCGCGGGGGAGGCGTTGTGGTGGAGGAAAAAGATGGAAAAAGTGATTCCTGGAGAAGGAGCTCGACACACATCATATCATAAAGTGTATTTGTTGGCTTGGCTTGGCTTGTTTTGGTTTGGTTTGGTTGGTTCGTTAGTTCGTTGGTTTGTCTGGTTTGGTTTGGTTTGGTTTTGCTTTTAACATGTCTGCCTGTGACGACTAAGACAGGTCGACGGTCACATTGGATTTGGAAGCTGCTGTGGATGCTCAGTGACGTTCACAGGGCCCCAGGACCCACAACCCTATGGCGGCGGTCAGTGGACGCAAAGCTTTCCAACTTCCAATGCATGTATACTAGTATATAGTTTTTAAACATTCTTTGTAATAATACAACAATATTTAAAATGTGCATATATAAATATTGTACAGCTCATTCTCTGCACATAAAAATAAATAACGATATTGATTCACAGTGTTTTTGATATTGTTGGGGTGCCTTGGAAAGGAACTGGAGGTCCCACCAGCCTTTCATACTTTGGAAGGGGTCTAAAACCAAGAGTTCTGTACTCCTTCCTGGTCCTAGACATTCAGCGGACCTTTGGTTAAGCATGGATAGCCTGACACAGACTTCTCACAGTGATACGACCCTCCCTTCACTTCCACCTCTCTGGGCAGCATCAAGTTTTTTAGGCGATTTGGCCCTTCAGCTGGTGAAGCAGGAGAGTTGACCCCACATGTCAAAACATGGTGTAGAACCACCCCGCACTCTCTGACAGGCCCTGTCCTGGTCATCCCCCACATCGCTGCGCTGCTCAGGCGCTCCCTTCGGCGACAGAGCCCCCAGCCTTGGCGGAACATCGTATCAGGCGGCACCCGCCGAACCCGTGTGTGACGCCGAAGCGCTTCGCGCCCAGTTCGGTTCGGCGCGAAGCGCGCGGGAAGTTCACTTTGGAAGTAAGTTGCTACCTCCAGGTTGGGCTTGGAAGTTCCAAATGGGTGACATATGGGTGATAAAGTTGGAAAGTCAACAATCCAGGTCCATGTTTGCCATATTTTGCCATTGTCAATCATTATCAATCCGACTTGCAGACTGAACCACCTGCAACATTTGTTGTAGCAGCATTATTCGCTACACCATGCAGATGATTGATATAGCCATAGCTGAAAAAAAAAATGTATGTTGCCTTCACACCATCTGAACTCGAACAGATGGCAATGGAGAGAGAGAGATAGGGAGGGATGCCCAGCCCGAGACATGCCACAACCGAAGCGCCCATTTCCGCCACGCTCGAGCAAAGCGCTCAGTCGTCATCAACAGCAAGTGACAGCCCGCACCTTACGGCGTCACATCAGCGTGGGCCACTGGGAGATCAAAGCCGGGTGGGTGGGTGAAAGCATGGTGAAACGCAACAAACATGTGTGTGTTTTCTGCCCAGTATCCTTCAATCATTCTTCCCAGAGCTCGGTGGAGCTAGTGCAGTCTAAAAACATCTAAAAACCATGGTTGTTCCGGAGTCCACCCTTCTAGATCCAAGGTGGGCACCACCAATCCCGTAAAAACCCAGCTCGAGCGGATCTTGACTCACTTCCGGACCCATGGACCCATGGGGCCCGGGGTTTACCTGAGCACCCCAGGTCATCAGACCGTTTTCCATCTACAAAGCAGTGGGTTTTCAGGTTCCATGTTAGTCTTCAGGGTCAGAAGCAGTCAGAATCCTGTCAGAATCAGATCTGATGCGCCGATCTGACTCCGTGGTTCATCTCCAAAGCGGTGCCCACGGCTTGGGAGATGAAGCCTGGAGATTTGCGGGGACAATGCGTAATGTAAACGGTGAATGGATAAAACCCCATGCGTAATTACTGTCCAAATGGGGGGGGGGGGTTGGTGTAATCAACCGTCTACAATACCTAGCGCTGCCAATGGGTGTTCTCTTTCGGTCTTTGCACTGGTTCTCAGCCAGGCTAGGCCCCCTCGGCGTCGCCCATAAACACCATGGATGGTTGGTGCGTTCTCGATCCAAAGAGCTTGAGCTTCCTGGGAACCACCCCTGAGATGATGAGCTGCTGGATTCTGGTGCTCCGAAAAAGAGGGATTCTCCAACCACTGCCTTTGGAAATTCGTTTTTTTCATGGAAAATCCACACGGGCCGGTGTTCGCCAGCTGTTCTTTTGCTCCTGGAAACCTCTTCTCCCGCGATCTGCGAAGCCGCGAATCCGCGATCCGACCGTTTGGAAGCGGGTCACCATTCAGGGCCGATAAAACCTCCGTTCAGCACGGCGACCACCGTGTTTACCGCTGTGGAAACACAAGCACGGCGATCCCACCGTGTTTCCAGCGGGGAAACTTCAAGCCCAGGGCCGATCCACAGCCTGCGGAGTGACCTGGCGACGGACTTCCGCTTGCACAACCGCTGGCTGCAGCTTTCGATGCAGAGCGACTCGACCCAGGCCATTGCAGAGATCAGGCGCTTTCGGGTGGTGGGTGGGAGGTGGGCCCCAGCGCAGAGGGAAGAGAGGTGTTTCACAGCCCTACGTATCTATTGCGCATCCCATATAACCACCAAAAAGGGTCCTAGTTCAGATCTCTTAACCTCAAACTCTTTGGGGAGGTAAGGATGGCGGGTGAATGGCAGGTGGGTGTGAACATGTGTGAATTCCAGGCTCTGTCACTGGGAGGCGGATTGGGTTTTCTTCTTCGGACGACTCTTAGAGGCGAATGACATGGCTCGACATGGCAATCGAAGACTTGGCAAGTTGGGGTAGGAATGGCTCAGTCGATTCATGTGTCATCTTCATGAGCAAACCAGGTCACTCAGCTTGAGGAGGCCAG